CATTTTTTGCAACAGTTGACACCGTTGCCGGTTGCCGGTCACTTGATTATGTCCGCAAAATTCAGTGACAGTTTATAAGACCAAAGTCATGCAGTTGACAACTGGGAATGTTTCGTTTGAAAACAGCCAACTTCTTGAAAACTAAGAAATTAGGTAGTGGTAAGCGTGATGCCCACTTCAGCAAAAGCATTAAAATATACTAAAACGTGTTCTTCTTAAGTCAGCTTATCAACTCCTATAACAGTTTTGCATAACAGGCTTTATACAGAATTGTTCCAGGGAAAAGCCTTTTCTATCTAGTGAACTATTTCCCACAGCCCTAAACTATCAAATATTCGTCTAGAAGCACGAACTGGACGTTACACAAGGATAAAACCGCGCTGCCCTCCAAAACTGTACTCAAATCTAAACCATGCTGGTCGACAAAAGTGCTTTGCTAAAAAACTGTGCTCTCGAGTGAGGTTTCAAATGAGACAAAAGATACGAAAAAGAAAACCTTTTCAAAAGGTTTTTTACTCCTAGCACATTTTTTTAATTTCCACTTTTAATATACTCCTTCTAATCGTAAGAAAAGCTAACAACTGTATCGAAATTTGGAGTAGGTGACGACTTGAGAACCAAAAACTATTCATTTAGCCGCAACAAAACGGTCAGCAAATTTCTGCCAACAAAATGCCACTGTTTATGCCCTATAAAGATCCTGATCAAAATCTGCTACTACTGCTCGATGATACCAGACTCCTTCACAAAAGGATATTTCATAAACAGAACCAAAAAAAAATTCTGGGAAGCAAATGACTGTAAAAGACACCAGTCATACAAAAAAAGCAAAAAGCAAAATCCGGAAACCAATGAATATTTTGGAAGTTAAAGGTAAAGTGAGACAACTGGAAGCAATATTTTGAGCGACAAGAAAAACTGTACTGTTTTAATCTGCCCATTTGACTTCAAATTTTGTATCCATTTTTACTCTGTCACAAAACCCACTTCATAAATCAAGCTCATATTCCAAGGAACTGTAAGTGAACCTAACACAATTTAAAGAACCATATCTCAACAATTTTAGTTTACTTCAGTAGTGCGTGGACTTTTATTAATTTATCATAGCACCAGCCTCTGACTTAGACAAGTTATAGTCATCCTGCTTCTTGAAACATCAAATGAGTTATAAAAAATTGCTAAACAGTCAATAACAAACATAAAACAGACATCTAGTCCCAATAACAATAAAAAATATAATTGTATTATAATAATGGCAGGAACAACAATAATAATAATGATAATAACGATAATAATATTAATATCAGTAATATTATTATCACTATTGAATACAGCACTTATACGAGTAGCAAAATGATAATGTCAAAGTGGGTAGAACAAAAACAATTGTGCTTCCAAACACCATTAAACTGGACAACCTACAAAAAGCTATCTTCTAAAACACCTGAATAATATAAAATGTTATCTAAAAAGCAGAAAAAGTTAATTTCAACGCAGTAGCAAATTTGTGCTTTTTCTCCTTAAACTTGACTGCCACAGAGGAGGACTAAACATAATCACAGTACCTGAACAGCCATACCTCCTTACCGTAAAATTGACTTCACAGCTACGGAGGTTACACACAACACAAGTATTCTACCAGAGTTTGACAGTGATTCACATTAAACCGTCCGCTTTTGTTCTGAGAGTTTGATTTTTGAGACACAAATAATGAACTGAGGCCCGACGACTGCCCTAATCCTAAAGATACAAACATCAGTTTAAAAGCAGCAATCAGCAAGCAAGAAAAACTTAGACGATTTCGATCTAGGCAACAGCATTATTCAGAGGTATTTTAGGCTGACTGGCTTGTCGAAAAAACTTAAATGAATTCTGAGTAAAGTGACTGCAGAGCAGACAATGCGTCACTTAAACTTGAAGCAATCTTTTTCAGATAAGCGATAAAAATCCCGCTGTAGGTGGAAATCGGTTTTATACGGTAAAAATAAACATGAATAAGTTCCAGTCAGTGTCGGAACTTTGATATCTCCTAAGCTCAGTTTCCATCCTGAAATGTCCCTCCTAATCCTTTAGTATAACTAGAGAGTAATTCATTAATGCACCTTACCTAACGATCATGCAGAAACGTAGTAGCATCATGGTCTAAAAACTGTATGTGAGAAAATGAGAAAATTTTGATCAACGTTGACAATCTAGAAAGAACCAATGTGGCAAGACAATGCTAAACCTCATTCAGAAAAAATAAGACAAAAATTATCGGAATATCTGAACAGCGAAAAGCTGCAATACTCATAACTCTTCTTGACATTTTTCGTTTCTGACTGAGTAATACTTTTGTGCACGAATTTTTATGTAAAAAGCGAAGTATAAAAGTGCAACTAGGTAAGAAAAACGCTTCACAAATTCATCATTTCTCATCTTCCTTTCAAACAGAATTAAAATGCTGCGGTATAGCCGGCGAAATTCCGTTCTGACTAAATTTATAATGTATTATAGTTACTCGAAAGCACAATTAATTTCGTTTCTAACGAACAACGATAACAATCCTTCGGCGTAAAACATAGTTTCATAAGCAAGAGAAACTGAGTTGTTAACTTAGTACTACAGCCCAGAAATAAAACAATAACATGAAATAATCTCTAAAACAGACTTTTGAACGACAAGCTTATCTTTAAAGACCGTACTTTCAAACAATTCCAAAAAATAAGCTTAAATGCTGCTTACGATCAATCTCATAACTACGCATATTACTACCCAAACTTCCTAGAACAAAATAAGGTGCAAAAACCTCTAATAACGACATTTATAAAAAATAAACTAACAAACAATAGCATAGGAAGAAAAAAAACCACGACGAAATCACACTGAATCGCTCAAAGGTGGAGTTTTACTAAGCCCCTTCAAAGATGAGCCGCCTTGCCCGCTTTCTTCTACTGTCCTCCGAGGTGAGCTCATTTCATCACCTTCTTGGAGATCACCCGAACAAAACTAAAAAATTTCAGCAAGGAATGCTTACGATTAAAACTGAAAAAATCATCAAAACTCTTAGCATTGAATCAGTTTATATAAAAGTAATTCCTGAAAGTACTACAGCCCAGAAATAAAAACGTAGATTCCCAACAAACCACAAAATTCGAACTGTCTTGCACCTTTAAATGTAATGTATTCTTTAAGCAGTAATCTAGTGTTTGCAGATGCATAAAGCAATTATATCAAGTTTCTAAATGACAAGCAGAAAACACTTGCCAATGATGTAGAGTAAATCAAAAATCATAGCAATACATTAGAAATGTTTTGATTCACAGTACTACAATCTTTGAAAACTTAACAGAAAATTTTTAAAAATGGTTGCAAGAAACGACAACGATTCCTACAAACCAAAACAAGAAAAGCTTTCCAATTACGCTTAGCAACTCCTCAAAAATTAAAAGAACCATGCAGATACACTGACGTCTGACTGAGCACCAGAACTCAAGTTCATGCATATCCTCCTTTGAAAATGCAGTTCACAAAGGCCTCCCTCTGCGTTAACGCGATAGCGGTAAAAAAACCCGTCCGTAGTAGCTACGAGGAGGTACAAGTGGCCTTCTATGCTGAAAAAGCAATAAAGTTAGAGCTTTTAAAAACTTTTTTATAACGTTAAGATAACTCTAGCAATTTGTGACCAAAACCCCTTAAAAAGTAAGCAATGAAGCTCTTATTTCATATCCACATAATGCCACCGCCCCTAATATTATAATTTATGAAGAACCTTGATTATGCACTCACTTCCTCAAAGTAGCCACATTCTTAGTTCGACTAGTTGGGAGTTTAGCATATGCAAAGCTTTTCTCACGATAAAATAAATCATTCATCTGTGTTGGCAAATACGAACCCGCGGCTCTGGCTATATATCCCGACCATGACGGCGGGACACTAAATACGATGTAAAACCAAGTATACCACAGAGTACAATTTTTAACCGGAATGCTAAGTAACAACATTTAATATGTCACAGAGTTCACCATCCCATAATAAACCGTGTAGAAGCAATTTGTCTTAATCGACTAATCACAAACTTTCATGCTTAATTAAGACTTATTTAATAGCCTACTAATCTGACTGTTGTCCTTCTTTGACCATTTCCAGTTTAAACACGTGTACTGTTTCTGTATCGCTGCATAAACAAATATACTTCGATTCGTTATCAAATGCCAGACAGTTAACACTAACATAGCTAAAAAAAAGAATATAATTAATAGACATAAAAGCTTACCTTTCTACAAGAACATATCAAAAAATTATCAAGACACATTCTGCTTTTTGTTCCTGGGCATGCTCAAAAGAAATTTAAAAGTTAAAATTAAATATTATGCTCACTGAGAGATCCTGGACCACCTACATATTCCACACCTTTAAACTTTAAAACTCCTAAATTTCCTCATCCGTCCAAGACACAATTGAGATTCCTGAGCGCCTCATTTATCCCGATTCTGGATATCTTTTGAACATCTTGACGGTTAAAGACTTAAAACTTATGATATGCATAAAAAAGACGCATAATTCCACTTAATGAAGTAAAATTTAGTTATCCCTACGCTGGGTCCGCAGACACAAGAAAATCCTAAGTGAAGTTCCTCTCCACAATCAGGACCAATCTCCGACTGGGGCAATTTCAAAACTGGGATGGGAAACACTTGGCAGAAGCACCTCTTCATCCCCAGTGATAGCTTTACAACGAGAAAACCGCTTTAACTAGATAGACATGAAAATGTAGACAGATTCTTCCACCAAATCTGCGGGTTTATTTACAGCATATCGACAATCTTAAGAAAGCTGATGAATTCTACATTAATTGATCCGGAGTCCTATCGCACTTCCAACGAACTGTCCTTAGACACTTATACAAAAGCAAAGTGAGTTAAACAATATGTCTCCTCAACGCACTACGTAGAAGCTTTAACGAACTTATGTGTGTAACACATAACTGTCAATACATAAAGGGAGGTCCTTAGGTATCATCATAATCCGAGACAACATTGTACTTTGTTTCCCATTCGTATTGACGTTAAGAATGCGGAATATAGAAGAAAATGTGCATGCTTTGTGAAGCAAAGTCCTCTTTCAATCGACAGTATATAGACAGTTCTCCAAATTTTGTTTTTAGAATTATTAGCTAAAGATAAACCAAGATCAGAGAGATTTGCGCTGTCGATATTGCAGAAAAAAGCAAGGATCACCACGCATAGAGACAGATGTTAGTAAATAAGACAAGTCATTAAAATAACTCTAGGTCCTAATAAAAATTTATTTACCATTCCTAACAACTTGATTAATTATAAATTCTTTCCAAATGTGTAAAAACTTTCACTTACTACGCCTAAAGTTACAAGACAGAAACTAGGTCAATTAAGATAAAAACTAAACATTTAACTCCCGCCTTTTTCCGTACGCTCTTGAAGCATATGCTGTAATTGCAAAACCACAGCAAATCTAAAACTTTTAATGGTACGCAGACTTCAACTCATTCACCTCGTTTATAAAAGAACACTATAAGCGCTCGAAGCTAGTTTCAAAGAATAATTAAATAAGCGAACAATAAACGCTGATATTTACAAGTTTTTTAAATTTAGGGCTACCGACTTATATTTCAAAAATGTAAGCAGACTTCGACCATTCTGCACTTCAGTAACTAATTCACCACCTAACCCAAGCAGAAATATCCGGTTTTGATGTTCAACAAAAAAAGCGTGGATGTCCACACCTCTCCAGTAGTTTGAAGAAGTACCACAAATAAACGTATAAAAAAATAATAAATAATGAAAAACTGTAGTCAGTAAAAGCAAAAAATTTTTTACTGTCCAAAGAAGTCATCAAAACTAACCGGCTAACACCTCTGGAGAACTCATAAAACTTGTCACCACTTTCAACATTAAAAACCCTAATGACAGTTCCTTTCGTAGAAGACGTTGCAATAAATGTACCAGTGGAATTAAACCGTACCGTCGCAAGTGGGCTTTTATGAGCAGAAATCGTTGTAAATGGTGAATTGTTACTTACATCGAAAAGATTAACTAAAAAATACCAGGAAACATTTGTTGTATAGAAACTACAAAGTTCATTCATCAGTAAATTTCAGCTTCTGCAACAGCAGAGCAAACCAACCTTTTCCAACCTCAGCAGCTCCAGGATAAGCAACAAGTGATGGCCCTTCCGAAGTAATGTCTATAATGCCCTCTTTGTTTCCTGGTACATCATATATTTCGTGATGAATCTTTAATTACCAAAATAAGCTGCTAGAATCAACTCTAAAACCAGCAACTGAAAAAACTACGAGCTTTACTGTTCAAGTGACTTTCTAAAACCTCGCTACAAATGCCAAAATCACTCTCAAAAAGTAAACAGAAAAGTAACTTACTTGAAACTTCTTTTGGATAAGATAAATTATAATGGATTCCTCGAGACAAACCACAAAGTGCTGAAAATGCTAAAGTAAGAAATACCATCTGAAAAACACTTTCTAGACAGTACTGCACTAACCTCCCTATTCATCTTGACAGCCATAATAGTATTCTTACAATTCAGTGTGCAAACGTCTTGCCGTTCTTTAATATTATATACACGTGCTTTTCTAGGGCACCTGTGCAAAACATAAGCCACAAGCGATGACGCATAAAACCTCTCAACGTACCGCACCCCTTCTTTGCCTGAAAAAAAAAGTATTCCTAAAATATATACTTGCCTGAAAACAAACTAAAATAAATTCGCTATATACAGTCCCAATATGACAGATCAGTTCTGGTTAATGTAAACATAAAGAACGAGTACCCGTTGATCTTACTTTCTCAAGCAGCCAAAATTCAATCAAAATATAGCAAAGTGGAATAGCCTACATTCACAAGCAAAGAGAACTGAGAAAAAACTAAGGTAGCAATCACTCTCATACCATATCAGCTTTGAATTTTATGTATATCTGACCAAACTCTCCAAAATGTAACTACCGAAGCTTACTCATGCTTTGAATAGTGTTTTCTCCATCACTTAATAACATTAAAAAGCCACTCAAAATAAAAGTTTTAAAACTGGAAATCAATCTCTTACACAACTGTTTATGCTTCGCAGTGGGTTCGTCATTACTTTCATTAATATCAAAAATGATGTAACCCGAGTGAGTGCCAACTTGTAACGACCTAAAATACTAAAAAATAAGTTCAAAAGAAGGAAGCAACCGAGACATTCAGACCCTATTTACAGAAAAAAATTTTTTACCTGCCATTCTGATTGAAGCCAACAAAAAGGTGTGCAGTTTCTTCACTTGACGTCATTAACTAAACGAAAGAAAAAGCACTTAAAAGAATAACAAGTTTTGCAATCTCAGTTAACCAACGATATACAAAAGTACCATAAGCTCCACAGTAAACTTGACTACTGAAATACTTTAAAACTAATGAGGAAGATCCATTCTGCGTCAAGACACACTGTACAAATAATAATAAATAAGCAAGAATATTAGCAAAGATGTCGAAAAAGGGAACATCTACACATGTAACAATCTGCTGATCGAAAGACTTCTGAAAGATAAACCTATTGGTACCAAGACTCAATACCTATAAATTTGAAAAATCAAAAATAAGCAAAGCAATATTCAACCGAAGCACAATTCAGTCGGATTTTATAAAGATCAATTTTAGTGAAAACTCTTCCCCATATTTCAATTTTTTATTTCTATGCAACATTTCTTTAAGCACTGGAAATTGAATAATTCACTCATGAAACCACAAAAATTGAATAGAAAAGAAACTAGAAGTCAGTTAAAACAAACTTTAGTTCGCGAAACTAATCACCACAAGTCAAAAGAATAAATAATAAGTATCCAGCAGCAAACAATAACAACGAAACAGAAAGTTTCAACTTTTACATTCTCCAACATCAATTCTTAACAAGTACGTATATCGACAATCAAAATTATCAAACAGTATAAAAAGTTACAACTGACAACAACCAATAAAACCTGACTCTAAAGATCCAAATCGACTAAAAAGCATTTAGATATTGAAAGTTAAAAAAATAAATTATATATA